GTGCACACCATAATAACCTATAAAAGATCATCAACACTACAGCCATTATGAGCAAGCCATGAAAATATTTTAAGACATTATTAAGAACCATTGATAAATTAGTTATCATAATGTCATAAGGACAATCAACATTATATAAGAGCATTTATATTTCTTTAGTTTTAAATTTTAGTCACTCTTTTATCTGTTCATCCCTATAAATCATACCAATATAAAATATTTCAAACTTTTTTGTAGGTACTTAACACATCTTCTCTAATATTTTTTCAATGCCACATCTTTGAACCTTTTATTAAAGTTACTAAAAACGTATCCCAAACAATAATGATGATACCCAATTAGCTCAAGCCATGTATGTGCTATGAAATTTTTAATTGTTACATATTTATTTGATATTATATATAATTCAATATGTCCATCTATAATATGTCCACCTATGAGATACCATCGAAGTAAATCTAAAAGCCATGTTTAGTTAATATTTGTCTTTTATTTGTCCAAAGCATAACATAACAAAAAAAAAAACCTTATTATTCTTGTTATAAGCAAATTCAATCAATAATTTTATCTTGTATTTCCTATAAAAGTAAGTGTCATCAATACTTATCAATGGACAATAGTATTTAAACCCCTTAGTTGCAACTCCAAATCAAGGTTGTCAAAAATGCTTTTTGACACGACATAGAATATACAATATAAACTCGAATCGTAAACACGAATCATAAAATTACAAGTAAAACATGGAATATACAATATAAACTTGAATCGTAAACACGAAACTCGAATCATAAACATGAATCATAAAATTGCAAGTAAAACATAGAATATATAATATAAACTTGAATCGTAAACACAAATCGTAAAATCATAAAATCATAAAATAACAAGTAAAATATTTTAACTAAATTGCAAGATTCAATCAAATAGTATATAATATTATAACACAATTAAAATAAAAGTAAAATAAATAATATAAATGTCCAAACACCTTAAAATATATAATTCAAATAAAAATACATACATGTTCATACAATTTCATTAACTAAAAGTTAACCAACCTAAAACAAACAATCTGTCTCACGTCAAGTCTATTGCCACTGATAGTTTTTTTAGATGTCATGTATCCTATAGTTCAAGAATTAATACATGCATCAATAATAGTAACATCATCTGCCAAGACACCCACATGATTTGCAGATTTGCAAAACTAGTAGTAAAAACAGAATGCCAATTCTAAAAACATAATAAATAAAAAGCATGCATGTAAGTTGTTGGACTAATTTTGCATAATAGTCTTGTATATATTAAGTTAAATGTGGTTAAAATTGTTTTCGTTGCCTTCCAGGTCACCGGCCTTTATTCAAATTCTAAAGATGAACAAGTCTAAATAGATTGGATAGAAAGATGCTCTTAATTAATAACATTTTGTTTTACCTGTTGATATAATTATGTAAAGTCGCACATCACAAATTGCTTAACATTATCGTTCTAATTGTTCAGTAATTTCAAATAGAACTTTAGTCCTAAAAGTCTGTGACATAAATTGATGAAACTAGGTTTAGCATGAAACACGTAGAGAAGACAACCCTAACTAGTCAAAACACACACACACTGATTTGATTCTAGGTCAGTTGTGCTGCCGAATGCTGATGTTAATTTATTCTTTCCTTTCTTCCTATCCCTTTTCTTCTAAGAGAGAACTTATCCAACAAGAAGGAATAATCAATTCCTACACTTCAGAAGATTAAGACCTCTATCCCCAGGATGGAATAGTTATTTAACTTTCTGACCGCCATAAATGAGAAACCCTCGTCCATTTTTCTTTTCACTGTTTACTTTTTCATAAAACTATTAGTTTCTCAATACTTTAGGTTTTTTTTTTTACACGGTTTATTTTATGCTTGTTACAACTAATATAGTTGCTAAAAAAAGGTTGTTTCATTATAATTATTTGTTTAATTTTTGCTCACCACCACTTCCGATTACTACAAATCACTAGTAAACCCATCATTTTCTTTTTTCCAAATAATGTGTAAGGCCATCCTCATATGGATTGTTTGAAGTTTAATAAAGCATATTTGTTATGTTGCAAAGTTATTTGGTCTCAAAAGATTGGAGTCCTAGATCAATCCATGTATCAAGGTTCTTTTTATAAAAAAAAATGTCAAATATATGTTGCTTAAACAAATTTTAAAATCATGGTACCCAAACAAGGATGAAATATATCACTAAGGAAAAGAAGTAACCTGAGAATCAAATTGTCCTTGAGAAGTCCATCCAACTGTGTGGAAGCAAGGGATTTCTAGCCTGCAAATTGTAATAAAGAGTAAAAAGGAGTTCAAAAACAACAGCTAAAATCCAAGAAAAAATAAAAACCAAAAGAGTTAAGAAATCCACGTACAATGAGATCCTTATTGTTATAGAGACTCTTTACATCTCATCTCATCTAATCTTTTCAAAAAGTACATCTTTTTCTCCTAAATCCTTATCAATTTTTTTAAAAATATAGCCGTATTTGGAATTCACTTCCTCAAGGTATCGCTCCAAAATGGGTCAACTTAAGTCCAAAGAATGAGCCTTTTGCATCAATATTTTCATAATAGAGTCCCTAGGCATCCTACCAACTTGTTGATGCTGAACTTATTCAACTAGATGCTGATGTTAATTTGTTAAGGTTAAGACTTGAGATTCTAAGAATTTGAGATTTGGGGAAAGGGGAAAGGCTGAAAGGGGAAAGGGGTAGGTGGAGACTTGGAGTGTCGTGCGCAATGAAATCAGGAGATGGAGTCAGCAGTGAGCAAACTTTTAATTTTTTTAGCCAAGTCATGAAATCGGTCCGGTTTTACCGATTTTAATGAGTTGGACCAATTTTGTACGAGTTTGACTAAGTTTGACCTGATTTAACTAGTTTTCAAGTTTTTAACCTAATTTTATACATTGATCTGTTTTAACTTGTAAAATCATACGATTTTAAGAGTCAAAACATACTTTTGATAACCTTGCTCCAAATGTCTAAAATACTCTTTTAAATAATGTTTTATTGTTATCAATCATTTTGTGATCCGACTTGACAACTATACTTGGATTTGATTTTATAATAGCTAATAAAACTATAAGCAACATTTGAAAGGACTCCTTATATGAACTAGATATTTATTTTAATACTTTTTGTTTAGTTATTCATGCATGCCTTATGATATAAGACATCACATAAAAAATACTTATGCACGACAGCTTCAATAGTAGATATGTGAATACTTATTTCATCTTTGATAATGGTTATAATCACATTAGGGATAAGTCTTAGTCAATTTGATGATGACCTTACATAACAATTGGGTTGATACATGCATGAGGTTCTTTCAATTTTAAAGTCTTAAATGAATCAGAATTCTTGTGATGCCCCCATGTAAATAAAATTGGCATGTTGGTTAAGATATATATCGTAATTGCACATAAGTTATGGTTGAACATTGCATCTTATATAGTAATGAATTTTTATATATCACTGCTTAATTGCAATAATTAATTCAAACTTGGTTCTAAAAGTTTGTCCAACATCCAACTCTATAGTTAAGCTTGAATTCCTACGACTCAAAGCCTAATCCTTACATATAGTTTGAGCAAACTAACTAGCATCCTCAAATTCAAGAATGTGAGGCCCTATGAATTGGCTTATTAGCCCAACTAACTCATCATCCCCAACTACGTCGTCACATTATAGTCATCTTTATTATTGCTTAGTTCAGAGTCTTCATAACAGTATGGAACAATTGTCATACTCAACCGAGCTTTCATATCTATAATTTTTCATGTCAATATTAGATTTATTGCATCTCCACTTATCTTAGACAAACTAGCTACCTGTGATGTTTATATGGTCCTTTGAGTGTAACTTGGGATCAAATTGAACTCCATAATAGAGAGGTTTCCTTATTAAGTATATTATTCAAGTACAGCTCTAAAATTTACAATTCATTTTCTATGACCAACTCAACAATTGAATTCAAACTTTCATCATTAGACATAATGATTTACAAGTATCCCATATTGCATTCTCTGAGTAATATCAATTTTAATTTCAAAACAAATCTCACTCAATGCCTCCATATATTAACTGTTTTAGTTCAGCAAGAGAAACATATAATCTAGCTTGAAAAAACTCGTTACGTTATTATAAGTGATACAATTAAAAATATTAAAATTGATACCACCATAATAACATAATAATTTTTAAACCCGAGCATAATCAACAAGGTCATAATTCATAAAAAATTATTCCTAAATAACATAATTTATCAACTCAATTGGTATAATTTTAAGCCAATTAAAATAATTTATAGTTAATTTAACTAAAATCATCAAATTCCTAAACTAACAAAAAAACCACAACCATAACATAAACTCATCAATTTCTCCCTAAATAATGTAATTTATCAACGAATTGATATATTTTATAATTAATTAACATAATTTATAGTAAATTTAATTAAAACCAACAAAACCCTAAACTAACACAAAAAAACTCTAACCTAACCCCTAACACAATCACAAATTAGCACAAAAAAATTAAATTAATAGAGGAAGGTACATTATACCTGAAATTATTGAAACTTGCCAAATCATTTTACAAAAACAAAATCTCTTGCCATAAAAACTTAAAAAAGCAAATAGTTCAAAACAAACTGACGGTACTCCTTGAAAAAGCATAACCAAGGAATAGTAGATAAAAATCAACGCAATTGTCGAGGTAATACTTCCAACTAGATTCAAAAGTCTGCAAGTCATACATCCAATTTTCTTCCTACAGACTAGTAATGGTTGTTAATGGCACAATAATCTAATCATCATCCAAAGACTGAACCGGTGAGAGCTGTTTAATGGTACACTAGATAGCTCATCCAGCGGCTTACCAACTCAATCAGGGGGCACATCCGTTACATTTTTTACATGTAATTTTTCTATTTTTCAACAAAATAAATTCATAAAATACAAAAATATGAAAAGTGGACAGTCCAATCGATTCTCATTTTCATTCCCTCTGTTATTTTCAATGGTCAAAACAATGTCGCATGTTTAGTACATGACTAATTCCTTTTTTCTATTTCTATTTTGTGAAAAAAAAAATTAATAACAAATACATCGATGGAATAATATACATGCCGAAGTTGCAAAAATAACTACAATAGGGACCACCCTCTGCAACACCTAAAAACAACAAAGCTAGGCACAATAACCAGAATCAATCTGATGGGAGAACGGTAAGGTAGTAAGGATATCCCAGGCTTGTCCCAGAAGATTGTATTCTCTCTCCTACATTTTCATGATCATTAACTGGTTCAAGATTCCAATTCAAAACATAGTTTGACAAATCATATGTACCAGGGGAGAACACGCATATTTGAAGAGGAATTTCAGTTGTGGATAGCGGCTTGATTTGGACTCCAGTTGAGCTTGACCCAGACCAGATGAATGGAGAGACACTTTCTGGTAATAGTGACTTTCTAACATGGTTTCTGAGTGCATCAGATTCGATTTTACTGTCCTTTGCTAGAGACACATCATGCCACCCAACTTGGTTTCCAGAAGCTTCATCACTCAGCTGATCACTAATGCTGGTGGAATCAAGGGTCTTTAAGATTATAGACGCAAGAGCATTCGATGAGTTGTAGATAGTCATCCTAAAATTTATTTCGCAAAATGAAGAAGAAAAGTCGTGATATCTGGTTCGAGGTCCATCAACTACCCATGTTATTGGACTTGTGCTCGCAGTGCTGTAAATGGAAATAATAATTAACAAATAGATGATTGAAGAATGTACAGAAAAAACAGAACAGCCACTGCAAACCGGAAGCACTTTTGTATATTCTTGCCTGCAATGACATGCATGATGAGAAAAGACATGATGTGCGTCTGCAACTCCAGGCTGAGAATTGCTCTTTAGTGGCCGAGAGATCAAAATAAAGTCCACTGCATTTTCAGCTTCCTGATAGATGCAAAAGCAGAAGGCTCAAAATGACAAATAAAGAAACAAAGACAGTGCAAGGAAATGTGATGACTGATCACAACCAAACATAAAATATTAACTGCCACTATTGTTGCTTGCCTGCAACTTTGATTAAACAGAGCACCCAAAACAAAATAACAAAATCCTAGGCTTGACACTTACTACAGCTTGTAAAGGATGTCCAAAATTGTCACTCAGAATTTTGACCCAAAAAAAGCAAGGTGGCTGTGCATCTGTGTTGGTGGTCTAGGTGGTGATAGTGATGAAAGTGCTGACAGTACCAAAAAAAAGCCACCGCATTTGATTGTCATTCGGATATTACCAACCTGATTAGAAATTCCATGCTGCAACCTTTCATAATCATGGAAACCAGCCAAAGGTGATTTGGATGTATCAAAAGGAACTCCTTTGCTACCATCAGGAACCAAACTTACATTGCTTCCAATGTGAGGGAAAAGTGAGGTACTTTCTTCAGTACTTAATGATTTCCTACAACTCTGAAGCCGAAGAATAATTTAATTGATCAGCTTAAAATGCAGCGCATAATTAGGTGAAATTTAAAGGGCCATGAAAATGAATTTACAGGGCATTGGCAAAACACAATAGGAAATACTATCCATACTATCCATGTGCAAGTTAGCAGTAAGCACATCAAGCTTCGCACTAAACAACAGAACAAGGAAATGGAAGAAGATAGGAAGAAAGAAACGTTTAATCTGAGAAGAAGGAAGAGGTAAAAGGTCGAAAGGCAAGGGAAGGGCAATTTCAAAAAATGCTTAACCTGAAAATGCAGATTCTTGTACCAACCTTGAGCACAAAGAAACATGAAAATGCTTGGCCAGCAATTAGAGATTGTGAAGGGAAGATTGTATCCATGGGTTGAAGCAGAGAAATTTCCCAGTGGCTTCCAATGGTTGATAGCTGATTAACCTGGATGCTCTCTGAGTTAGTTTTGTTGACAACTTCCATGTGCACAAGGAACTCTTGCAATCTTGATGGATAGGGACTGATTTTAAATGACACATCCAACGATGGTAGTACCTATTGGAAAAGATTTTTAATGAATCACATTAGATAAGGAAAGTGTTTGATCAACAAAGAGAAATCACATGCATCACCAACTTAATGATAGTTGGTTCTTAACAACTGAAAGACGAACAAGAACATTATCAGTATTGTAATATCTATATTGCACAAGCATAAGTTATTCTGAATTCATCCATGACAATATTTAACTTGATATCAGAAAACCCATTCAATATTTCACATTGATAGCTCTAGAAGCTTGGTATGATCTCAAGCTATTATCGGGATTATAAATAGTATGAAGCATGAAGAAAAGACAACAAATCCCCATCATATTCAAGCACATACCTGCAAATTATAATGCATGCGTAGAATTCGGTATCTCATGGCACTTGATAGATCTCCCATCTCATAGTATATTACTACTTGCAAGGAGATGTTTCCAGGAACAGCAGCCCGAAACCAAAGAGGCCACAATAGTGGATTTTCCCCTTGCACTGAGAGATCCTGAAATACAAAGGCAACAGCAAGTATATAACTAAAAATGGCAAGATACCAATTTTATGTAAATGCCACAAACCAATCAATAAGGTGAACTTCTGACCTCCGGAAATAGAAAAACACCATGAGATGCTATTTTTGGATTAGCAGGTAGGCTAACATTTGTTTTCTTCTCTAAGCAAGCAGGAAATTCTAAATTCAAATCTTCTTGTTTCCCAATATTTAGGAATCTAGGATGGCTGGTCTTCATTTTCAAATTCTGCCAAGAAAGGTTATAAACAAAGTTAAAACAGAAAAGACAATAGAAGCACCCGTTCATTAATGCATCTTACTAATAGACAGTATTTATGCTAGCATTTGCAGGAGAAATTAACAAAGCCTGACATATAGGCAAGTTGGGTTCTTCCTTTCACTCAAAGTTACCATAATAATTTGTGGCAGTCTAAGAGATTAAGAAACTTTAAAATAAAATAAAAAATTGTGGCAGTCTAGTAGATTAAGAAACTTTCAAACATAAATATTCTTTAAAAAAAAAGCCATTATCCAATTCAGGCACCATCAACTGAGGTCTTGGAATGAAAAATTTGGAAACCATCCTAACCTTTAACATTTTTGGATGAAGTGGGTATTCATAAGAATCAAATTTGTGCCTCTACAGCTGTGGATCCAAAACATTTACCAAGAATAATATTAAGACATTGAAATCATCAAATCAATCTTTAAAAGGTCAACATGATTCAATTTTCCAAATCACAAGGTTGCAATACAATAGCCAGTGAGGTCACAAATACAAGAAGCATGCTACCCAATGGCACACAAAGTACATTATTCATTAGGACACTAGAATGATGGGAAAAAAGCATACCTTTACAGAAACTTCAGATCGATTCCTCAACTCTAAAACAAGATGCTGTAAATGTCCTGCATATGCCTTCTCAGGTAGTGCATGAATGAAGCCCTCAAGCTTAGGTAGACTCTGGACAAGAACGAATATTTTTAAAAATTGATATTCCAACTTAATCTAAATAAATAAAAATTCCAAAGGAGCAGTGTGGTGGGGCAGGATGTCGGTACCTGGATCACTATAAACTTCAAGTAATTGCCGGGTGATTGCTTAGCTTTCCTTCTTCCCTTTGCAATTTTCTTTTTCACATAATTAGACCCAAAACTATAAAAACCAACCACAGAACCTGACAATTTCCATCTGACACCAACAATTTTTAGAATGCCTTCTACTTTGGGAGTAACTGTTAGTTGCACCTGAAAGGAAAAATAGGATTGTCAAAACATGACTTCTAAAAATGACGATGACTATTGAGCAAAATATCTTAGGAGAGCATTGTATCAAAGAGAAGTATCTATGATCATCGACAAGAAGACAGTAACTATGACCATTGAAATAGAGAAACCAACTGGATTCTTACAGAGATAGAAAACCAACTAGACTCTTAAAGAGATAGAAAAACATCCACATGGAGAAATGTCAGTATACTAAGTTTTGGTTACACTATCTTCAGTGCTATATTCTGGTTTGAAGTATTTTCCATATGGACCACCTATGACAAATAATCCATTTTGGTTTGCACTTTTAAAGTTTTGGTTTATCAAACTGAAGAAAATGTGGGTGGACAAAGAAACAAATTCAAAGATTCAGGCCTTCCTCCAATGGCAGAACCTGAGATAAATTTTGGGGTGTGGGTGCCATATGTTATGTACTTGTGCTTACATAAAATTTTCATTGGCTTGTACATTAATAGAACATAGAAATGCATAAAAATATCATAATCTAACTTTGGACCATATCATATCCAATTTGTCATTCAAAGAAATTAAAGCCAAGAAAGAGCACTAGCTCCATCCAAAATTGAAATTCAGTACAATATATTATAATTAGAATTGAAAATCATTCATTATTGAAAAAATCAAGAAGAAAAGGAAAGAAATCAGAATTGCAACTTATTATATTTCTATTAGGGAAATAATTGCAAAAAAAGAAAGATTAGTAAATCAACTACAACATCGAATAGAAGTGAGAATGTTTAATTTGAATTCATTTTAAACCTACATAGATGTGTCATAAGTGCTTGAAGAAATGACATGAATCTATAAGAAAACTGAAAGTAGTGACTAGTTCTTGCATGCCTCAACGTCATTATTAGTTCTTATACCTTCTTACATAGATGGTCATTTTTGTCAATTATATTTTCCAAACAAAATTATTATTTGTAAATCATCATTATGACACATTTGTTAACTTGATTTCTTCACGAATTTTAAAAGTGAGCAGCACACACTAATATTTGATTAACTGGCGACAATACCACTTACAAAATGCATGCAGTGAAAAATCGCACACAGGTATCGTACATTTAGTGATGCACTTAATTCTCTCTTTCACACGCACCAGAAAACAGGGATAACACACCCTTGACTCTAAAAAATTCAGAAAATTTCAAATGTGTTAAGTCACTGCAAATTCATTCAACTGTTCAAAGAAAGCACTCACCAAATTGGCTTCACCCCCTCCCAGTGAGATGTTGACCTCGGACAAGGAAAATGAGGAAGTGTCTGATATTATCTCTCTGCAGTAAGCGAGCAAAATTAAGTTAGCAGTTCTAAGAATGACACTGAATCCAGGAACACCATAGGAGGAAACTGGCTTGAAAACAAACAAAATTAAGGGAAAGATTGTGAAAAGGTTTGCACAAATACCTCAAGTTTTCATGTTCTTCATTATTCCAGATTCCAGCAGTTGAGCAACTTGCATCTGCGTCAACATTAAAATTGTGATCACCTGTTTTCTTTTTCCTATGAATTTACCCTCATCCAAATTGACAAGAGAAGAAAGAGAAGGAAAGAAAATTTAGTAATAAACTGCTTGTAACTCACCAGAATTCGTTTCATCTGAGGTTGCAGAAAGCTCACATATCAAAGAAACACTAGAGATTGAAATAGGGATTTCCAGGGGGTTCTTAAATTCAATAGCAATCTTTATTGCTTCTGCAGTCACAAAATAAAAGAATGTTATACCACTAAAGGCAATACAACAGGATGAGGCCCCTTAGCCTTTTCTTTTTTTGTGCGCCTGGTACTGATTCACAATCTTACATAATAAATAAGCAATCAAAACCCTTTTTTTCCAATATTTCCTGTTCTCGGTAACAAAAAAAACTAGACATGGACTCTCAAAATATTTTTCATGTATTGCTGACAGAACAAAACTCTGAAATAACTTGTATGCATTATGAATCTGTCTTCATCAAAATTCAAGTCCAAAACTAACATGCAGTCTCAAAATACTCTTCATGCACTGCAAGTATTATTCCCGACAAAACAAAACTCTCAATAACAAAATTCAAATCCAAACACCACATGAAGTGTCAGTGACAGAATTTCACAAGCTGTGTGCTCTTAATGACCCGTATTAAAAGAAAACCTCCGAATAATATTATCCATGGAAACTAAGAAACATTCAGTTTTGCTGCTGTGCATAGCAAAAATAACCCTGAGTTGAACATAGGCAAAAATTAAGCAAAATCAAAAATTTTCATTCCTAACATATAGATTAATGTATTTTATAAATTAAAGAAGATTTACACAATTTTCCATAGAACAATATCACCTTCATACCTCCAGCCACACAGATGTTTGATTCTTTATATTTCGGTAAAAGCTTTGATTGTAGTTCCAGCCAATTAGTCCTGACAGTAGGCAATGACGGGATCACGTCTTCCTCCAATGAACGCCAGACACTTTCTTTAACACTAGTCTGGTATGTTAAAAAGGAAAGGTAGCATCAGCTATAGCTGATCATCTAAACCACTTTCAGAATTCAGACAGTCTTCCAATTTAAGAGAAAATAAAACTACAACTATGACAATCATAATCATAAATATATTGATAGCAGCAAAACAAGATTTTGATATCTTCATGAGATACTTTATATGAGCATTCATTAGGATATTTGGTGATGCTTACACCACCAACACACTTGATTTAGGTTAGGAAAACCTAAAAAGTATAGATAATAACAATACAAGATATTTGATATGTTAAAAGATGCTTTGCCCATTCCAGTGAAATTTTAATTAGTACTTGTGGCCATGCTTACAGGACCAACAAACTTGACTTCAAGTTATTTCTTAAGCAACTTCATAAATCCAAAAGGTTTAGTAATAAAACCATGAGGTCATGTGCATATCAGACTTAAGATACATAACGCACAGAATCAAAGAGTCATGAAATCCCCTCCTGATAAATAGCATCATTTTTCAATGTCTTCCAGAGGATCTATGTTCGGTGTATAAATATAGCAAATGCTAGGGCTGATGCATGTATGCACCCAAACAAATTTAATGATATCAATAAAACAAAGGGGAGAGCAGGAAAGGCATCTTAAAAAGCTATTAGGGAAAGGTGACATTTATAGATTACAGAGTAGTAGAACAACATACTGATCCAGGCAATGCATAGGTTCGATGGTCTTCAAAATCGACCTTAAGCGATGAGATGTTGATAACAGGCAACTGAAGTCTTAATACCTCAAATGTTTTCCCTGCTTTCTACATCATCCAAGATGAATTGTCAAACTCAGGGAAATGGGAAAAATAAATACCACCTATATCAAATTAGGGTTAGAGTCTATCATTTGGAAATAGCAGTCACCTGAACAATTTGAAGAAATTCTCTGAGGAATAACTCCTGTGTTGCCTTGGACTGATGGCTACAGGCCAGGACTTCCAACATATGTGTGAAAGCAACATCATACATCCCAAGAAAACCATAACACCTACGTTAAATAAGCCCTGTTAAAAAATTGTGCTTTGCAAATTCTGCAGGCCCAGCATGTTAAACTTCAGTTGGATCAATTTGAAATAACTTACTGGCCGATATGGAAATGAACATGATCTTTGATGTAGCTCCATGGGGTTCCTTTATATACTGAGACAGCGTTTCTATATGTACGAATTGCATGTTTAATCTACAAGAGGAAGCGGCAAATATCATCAGAAGCCACATCATGCAATTTGCTATAATCAGATTTGTGCATAAATAAAACAAGTACCTGGTCACATTTTTTATACCGATCACCAGAAAGAACAAGATGAAACCCATACTTGTGCAACATAGGTGGTTGGGACAACAAGTAGCAATAAGATGCTTGCTCAAGCATGACAGCTGAATGTAACAGTTCCTGCAAAAAGAAAATTTTCAGTAAAAAATAAATCCACCCTCATTCATTTTTTATTTCATAAACAATGGGCGGTACCTCACTGCAAATGCGGAAGTAAACAGTGGCAGCCTCTTTAAATTGATCTTTCATCTTCAACATTTCTATCCACCAAAGACCACAGCGTGTAGCATTTTGTCGACCAGAAGACCCAAGTTTCTGTAGTAAACCAAATTCGATATACTTAGACAAAGTTGAAAGAGTACATAACTAGGTGGCATTTGTTGTTTGATTCACTTGACTGGAATAAGTAGCCAGATTAAGAGCATCATGTGTAAATAACCAGCTCCATTGTGTTAGGCCAGTGGTCATATAAAGCTAAGTTAGTAAACTAACCACCCTTTCTCTGCTAAGTTACAAGGCCTGAAAACGAGTTGTATGTGCGTCATTTTAAATAGAGCAAAATGCAACCAAGAGGATTTATCCGCAATAATGAAATAGCTTTCTTCCTTATATTGCAAGATCAAGGATGAAGCAAGAAAAAAAACACATACTAAATAAGTGTTAAAAGCATTTTCCATGCAATTATCTGCTTCTTTTCTTGATTGATCCAACATAAAGTATGTAAGCCCCATCATTTCCTGCATGGAACCAATGAAACAAATGAAGAATGTTGCTCGAGGAGATGATTCACATGTTGAGATAATATAGTTTGAAGAAATATCAAGAAGCAAATAAAGGAACTTCAGGTAGGCAGGCAAAACACAGAATTTTCCAGGCAATGACAGACTAACCAAGCATTTCCCAAAACATATATGATACACATGCCATATAAAAGTTACAAGAGCTCACAATGCTTCAAAAACATGGTTTTGCACTCAAATGTTCTGGTAAAGAAAAGTTTGTTTATTACATTCACCAATTATCACACAGAATAGGACCCCAAAACAACAAAAAGCTAGAGTAAGGAACAAAAAGGCATAAATATAAATAAACCACTCCATGTTTTTCCAACAATAATCACACTACTATCCCAGATCCACCATATGAAATCACATGGTATTATTACAGCCTAGAAAATGGTCATCAAGAGTAGCAAACAGCAAATAATTATAGAAACAAAATTTGAAGATACCTGCACACCGGCATAGCGCTTCCAAGCTTTATCAATCTTATAATCTGTGGAAATAAGGCGATAGTTTGATAATGCCAGTTCATAATCTCCTAACATGAATGCATAGTCACCCAAAACTCTGATCTGAGACTCAACAGAGCTATAGGTATACCTTCAACAGTGAATGTAGAAACCTATATTAGGGAAAATTTGCGTAAAATATGGAGCAAGCTTTGGCATGAAAAAAAAAGGTATTTTTTAAACTTACATAGGTCCATTGGAGGAATCTGGTGTGTCTTCTTTCCCTTTTCTCCACCATAAGTTTTTAATTTGGTTTCTAAAGCCTTTCCTTGTAGCAGAAATCTAGCCATGATAAATTATGATTTGAGGAAGAAAGGAAAAGGAATCATAGAGACAATAAAATAAAATTGTATTAATAGCTTAGATTTCAGAGTAGTGCAAGTGAAGGCAAGCAAGCGCCCTCATGAGAAGGCTCGAAGCACAAAGGAATGCTGGAGATTCCCTACCTGCTGATTGAGCACACGAACTTTCTGCTCCATGTAAGGAATGATATGTTTAGATGATAATTCTTGTATTAAATCCTTTATCTGTTGCCAATTTGTAGGGTATATTTGTTAAAAGCTCTACAATATTTCACCCCAAAATAAAAGATAAGGAAACAAAAGAAAATATATAGTTTACACCATATGCTCACAGTGATAAAAGCAATTTACCTCATTAAAATCATCAATGTTAAGATAACGACCAAGATCCTGACTAGGTGAAGAATCAAATTTCTGCCAATGTCACAAAAGTAAATAAGGCCACCACCTTAATCTTGCTCATTGTGTCCAATAACTCAAGACAGAGAAACGAATCACATGGTAAAATATTTCAAAGCATGAAAAGAATATATGATACAAGAAAGTAACTTACATAAGGAGCCCAAGGATTATCTTGATGTTCTATCTGCTCATCTTGAGAAGAATTAATGCAAAGTAAATGACAGCCATTAAAGCCAAACGTATTTTTCATCTCTGTTAGTATTTTAGTTGCCCTGGAATCAAACAAATAAAATTTTAAAACCCATCAAAAAACATTCAGAGTTGTAAAGACTTGCCTAAAGAGAGAAGAAAAAAATCTTAGCAGTGTGAAATGTAGTTAAAATGTTATTTAAAGGAACAAAATGCAGGATACAGTACCAAATTAACAAATTGATATTACAAGTAACAAATATGAAGTTTGGCCCCTAGTGATATGCTTTTTTGCAGAAAATGGTATGAAACGGAAGATTCTGTTAAATGCACCGAGTCAAAAACAGGACGAGGCATTGACTCAGAATAATAACCTCAAAGATTTAATTATGCAACCAAACACTTGCCCCTATCTATTGTTATTGTATCGTATGCTCAGATAATACCTTCTAACATAAAAAGAAAGGAACGAAAACCATACTTCTCAGAGGGACCATCTTTATTATCATGCACCAATACATAATGTTTCAAAATCTTTGGGTCCATTGCACCGTCATTGAGAAGGGAAGGCAACTTGTTAGTGTTGAAAAGGTCCACAAATTTGTTGATAGGCTGTTCATCCTTTGAAGAAACAACCGAAACACCTGCATATCAAATTAGAAATAAATTCAGGAAAGAAACCCAAAATGGTTTTATGATTACAGTAACCAAAACCTTGAAGAGCTATCATCCAATTAGCCAAATAACCCATGTATCATGATTGTGCACGTGTAGCCCAAAGAAAAATGGGGAAATAAATAACAACCCCTATTCCTATCAATTTTCAAAGCTTACATGCCACAGGGTGGTCAAAAGCCTCGTGCTCGGAAAAAGAGACAGTACGTACAAGCTCTTTATTGAAAATCTCAAACCAAGATGGTGAAATTTCAGATTTGGAGCCTGCAAATCACAATTCAAATGCACCAAAAAGTTAAAATCTTAAATAAATTTCATTAGTTAAAAGCATCTAAACTAAGAAAATTAAGCAGATGCAAAGGAGCAGAAAAATAGAATATAAATTCGCATCAAAGTCGATAAAAACATTCACCTCTGCAGAAAAAAATTCAAATGAATTAGAAAAAAAAAGTTAAATGAAATCGTACAGAATTGATAAAATAGCTACGTGTTGACAAGTTAAATGAAATCGTACACAATTGATAAAATAGCTACGTGTTGACAAATTTACATTCTCATACAGTGAACTTACTTGCAAGTACATTGCTAATATCTAGAGGATCAGTGGACAAATCCGATCTATCCTTCTCTCCTGCCTCAGTAATAACCTGCTTTAGTCGCTCCTTCGCTACCTAGTTCAACAAGAACATAATCAAAAGGCCAAAATTGCAGTTTAGTTTCATCGAGAATAAAACTTGACCTAATCTAAATTGTAAATCCAAAATTTAATTTTTTAAAACTACCAAACAAAACGACTACCACGATATCCGGCTGCTTAATATCAGACTCATAAAATAATCTCAATTTGAACTTCTGTAGCCTGTATGGCTGATCACTCGAAGTCCGTACAGGCACTGCATTTAACAAAACCAAAGGAAAAATCTCAATTTTTACTCTCAATTAGCTTCAAAAATTGTAGCATGAAATAGATAGTGGAGAGAGCGAGAGCTAACCGTCGATGTTATTGAAGTCGCAAAAGGGGTTAAGCATTTCGATGAAGGAGAGGCTGTTTTTGAGGCAAGATTCTTCTACCAGCGGTGTACGGAGGACCATGACCACCGGAGTGATCTCCTCCAATAGCATTTTACCAAGTGAAGTCTTCGCCGGATCCATGCCGTCAAAATTACCGGGTGGCTCCCTCGCTGAGTTGACTCGGATTTGGTTTTGATCAGATCTCTTAATTCTTCTCAGCGTCTGGTGCTTGTGGAGAAGGAGGGAGCTGGTTAGCGTAAAGAGAATGACGGTGGCCCGTTTTGTTTATTAATGGACTGGACTTTTGGCTTGATGATCCACGGACTGTGCATCGACTTATTTGGATCCCTGTTTCACTCTCTTTCTCTTATTTACTTAGGGTAGGGTGCCACGGTACTTTCATTCTCTTTTTAGTAAATAAAACGTGTTACAGTTACAATTACAAATTACATTATATTACAATTAAAATTACAAATTACATTACAATTACAGAAAAACAAAACTAAATAAAATTTGTTTCCAAAAATTTATTTTTCTAATTTTTTTTTTAATTTACAAAAAAAATCAATAAATTCTAGTAATAAAAAAAAATATTGGTTAACACTAACTAAGACCATTAAAATAATTAATTTTGATGTAAATAGATTCTATTTAATAAATATGATTTTATTGGATTATTATATCACCTTGAAATTGAAATTACATGGGATACTAGATCTTATTTCTAAAAGATTTTAGGTTTTGGATTTATTTTTTATTTTTTGATATTTCTTGGGTCTTGATAGTAAAAGAAGATTTATTTAGATCTATAACATGTATTTTAGATGTTTTTTGATCAAAAATAGTTTAAAATAAATTTTTAAATATGAAACACCCATGGATTGATTTTATAGCAACCTCTAGTCATTGAAATTGGAGCAAACAAGCAACATGCCATGTTATTTTCCTTTTATAAAAAATATTATCAAAATCCGGGCACATGGATCTAGATTTGCAAACTCGCGCACCTTGGTTGGTTATTCTTATTAAGGTTGAGGCACGTTGAATCACCCAAGTCTATGCACTTAGAATCTTTTTCTAGATACTTTTTTATTATTATTATTAACTTAATTTTATTTTTTTATTTTTTATTTTTTTATATTACCTACTTGTCCATAAAATAAAATTAAGAACTATCAAATATTGGTACTTGTTGTATTATAAATTTTATTTAATTATTTTTATAAATTTTAATGTACTATAATTATAATTGTTTTTTTATAGCTATTGCAAGACCGAGCAATATATTAAAACATTTTCATTGAAAATTACACTTATTTTTAATTAAATTGAATTATAATGAATTCATTATTTTTTCAATCATGGTAATTAGTTTTAGAATTACATAAGAGTGTTAGCATGTGCTATATTGCAGATCATATCAATTTTTTTAGCAAAAAAAAAAGAGGTAGATATTGCAAACATATTCTCTAGTAGGGAAAAAAAAAATTTAAATAGTATGGGGATTAATCTAATGTGACCTAATTAACTTGGTTAGTCCAAAGATAACTTTGATGATTAAAAAAAAGTTTCCAAAATCAAACACCAATAAAAATGATAAAAAGTTTATACAAGACTAACCAATTTAAAATAAACCAAAATATTAAATGCTAAAAATGAAAAGAATCAATTGAAATTAAAAAAAAAAACTAAATAGTATCAATATTTCATTATGTCATGAGAGAGAGAACAATGTAGACTCACACATTTTTCTCTATATTTTTGTTCCAAAATTGTTTTCCACTTTAATGCCTCAATTTGTTTTTCTTTTATTTTTTTCATTTAACGTTGCTTTTCTATGGTATTAGTTATAGTGATTTCTTTTTATGTTTGCATATGAAAGGCTTTACATTGTCGATGGCAATATTTTGTTGCTCGGTTTAGCAAATTAAGATTTAATTTTTTTGAATTATAAGAATTAAAACTTTGAGAACCGAATTTAAAGCTTGAACAAATAATGAGTCCTTTTTATTTGCTAACATCAGAGGTCGATGTGTATGGTCAAGGTAATTTTTTTTCCATCCCTCCACTTTTTTTTTTTTAATTAGATCCTCTCAAATTAAATTTATCTAGGAATTGACTAAATAGTTTATTTTATTTACCTTGATACAGGGATCTTGTATTATCAAGGGAAAAAATCGATGCTCCATTTTGCAAAATAAAATAAAATTTAGCTAATTTAAAACAACTAAATGTTAAGAGACCAAAATTAAAACTAAAACAAATAGAAGGACTTGATAAATAAGTTGCACAAAAAGGCTATTAGGTGCAACGCACGTTCCAGCATGTGAGAAGGCTTTGCTATCTTCCAATGGCATGTGAGGCTTTAGACGACGGCTTAACACCTCTTTTTATAGCGATATTCGAAGTGTCTTGACGTGATCTTTCTGGTAGTCACGCATGTGTACACAACAACATGGCAGTTGGGTTCTCATGAACTTTTTCTTTCCCTCTATTTTTTCTCTCTTCTCATCAGGTTTTCGTTACTTTATAAAGAAACTACAGGTGTCTTATTCTTTGTTTTTTGTATCAAATTTAGTACTCGTTCTTTTTTTTACTATCCTTTTTAGTATTGATTTTTGTTTCTTCAATTTCATCCCTCATCAGTTGGTTTTAATTAATTTTTATATTAAATTTAATCTTCATTGATTGCTATTTTTTTATCTTTTTCTTCATTGATTTTATTTTCAATTTTATTACTCAACATTTGATTTAAGTTTTTTTATATCAATTATGGTCTTTAGTTTTTTATTGGTATTTGTTTTGTTTTTTATCCTTTTTTATTGATTTTATTTTTCAATTGCATTCATTAGCATTTGGTTAATTGGGAATTTTTCTCCTTGATTTTTTAGGGCTTTCCTTCTATAAGGTTACTCCTAAGCTTATGACTAAGGTCATTAATTTCACTGAATATCGCAAGTTGATCATGGGTTTTTAGGTTCTTTTTTTAAAATTAATTATTTTTTTAATTTTATCGTTCAGAATTTTATTGGTTCAGAACTGGTCTTTATATTGCTTTTTCATTTTTCTTTTTATAGGGTCATCCTGAACACATGTCCTAGGATGTAGGTTAACCCGAGTCTTTTTTTTCAATTTTGCCCTTCAACTTTAGGTTATTTGATGATTGAGCTTTATAGTTTCAGTTAATTTATTTTTAATGGGGTTATCCTGATATCACAACCAAGTCATAAATTCGACATACTAACCTAAATAGGCTCGGGTCATTTTATTTATCATTTTAATTTTTTTTTTGTTTTTATCTTGCAACATTTGACTTGCTTTAAATTGGCTTTAAATTATTATTTTTTTATTTTGTTTTTTTATAGGGTTATTCCAACCTTATTTAATTTTTTTTTTATTATGAAATAAGATCATGGAGATATTTTAAGAATATGTGGAGGATATCTTTTTATGGCACTGATAAACATTTATTTTTTTAGTTCATCATTATCAATTCTTTTGTTGTTTTATTTATTATTGTTGCACTTTTTATTTATATAATTAAATTAGTTGAGTTTATTAAATCTAGTTGAGTCAATTTAGTCAAATCTTTTTTTTACATTGAAAAACATATGGCTTTGCTCATGTCATAGAGTAAACCACCTATCTAATTTCTTTTTATATAATGTATCAATGTACTTTTTTTATTGAAATGGAAAGTATATCTAATTATTGGTGATTATCACATTATTGTTTAAATCACAAAATAAGATAAGATAATTAATTATGTATGAAATAAAATAAATTATTCCATCAACAGAAAAATTTTTATTAATAATTATTGTCCCGATCTATAATAGATAAAAATTCTAGTGTTAAAAAAATCAAAGACTCGTGCTTTTTTTTTATTTCACTAAAATTTAATTCCTTAATCAAATGAATTTTAATTTCAATGTAGATTTTTGAGGAAAAAAATTTGAAATGACAATTGGTTATTTATAGGAAAGATATGAAATATTTGACGAGATAATTTCTTATTTAAATTATAAGAATTTGCTTTTTTGTAGAAAAAAGGGAATGTCATATCATATATTTATGTATTTATCCTACAATATATACCGATTAGACAATGCAATTACACTATGGTGGAAACTTTTCAATTTGATCAAAAAATTTCAATTGATTTTTTAGTTACAACTTAAATATTAATAATATCTAAAAGAGTGGAGGTTTCCATTATAAACAAAGATACAAAATATTGTAAATTAAAACATTTTTTTGACCTTTTTATCTTTCTATAAAAAATCATTAAACTTTGTATAAGAATAGGATGGTTTGTTCTCAATGGTGAAAAAGTCATTTACAAATTAAACGGGGATAAAAAGATCTTTACATATTTTTTAGCATGCTAAAATTACATAATTTATTGTAAAAGTAAAAAATCATAAAGTTGGATCTTAGGGGTTTATGGTCCTTTTTTTTTCCAATAGTTGAATGACTGATTTTACACAATTTTTATAACTTAAATCCAAGGGCCTTTGCATCTTTTTTGTAAAAATCTAGTTAGTTAAGGGGTTGTTTGGTAATTAAATAAACATAAATATTGTTTACAGAACCTAGTCAACGCATGCAATACATGTTCATCGGGTGAGTTATCTCTGCATCTTTTTGGTAGCACATGAGATGTCATTTAGTGGTCAAAAGGTGGTTTCCAAGATGGTGTTAAAATCATCTTCACTTCCCCTCCATCCATGGACGATGTGTGTTTTAATTTGACCTCTGGTTTGATGCGTGTGTTCCTAACTGACCTCTAGTTTGGTATGTGTGACCTTTTTTTCCATCTCTTATCCTTAATTTCTATGTTAACCTTGTAAAATTTAAAATCAGCTCTTCAATTATTTATTCCTTCACATTTGGTTCCTTTTATTTTGATTATAATTTTTTTTAAATGATATATGAAATTTGATTTTTTTAATTTTATTCCTCTTTAATTTTTTATTTTTCAAATTTGGTCTTATTTCTTTTAATTGATATTTGTTTTATTTAAGATGATTTTTAAAAGTTTATTTTTTTATGATTTCATCGTCCTTAAGTTTTTTTACTGCCAATTTGATCATTATTATTTTAAGCTCTTTTTTTTCCTAGTTCCATCTCTCAAGGAGATTCGACTCTAGTTATTTTTTTATTTGATTTTTATAGGATTTTTTTATTAATTTTGGTAATTATTCAGGTGATCTTGAGTCTTTTTATTTTTTATTATTTGTTAGATTTAGCTTTTTTATAGATTTTTTTATCTAAATTAAATTAATTGATTTGATATAAG